AGAGAGAGAGAGAGAGAGAGAGAGAGAAGAGAGAGAGAGAGAGAGAGAGAGAGAGAGAGAGAGAGAGAGAGAGAGAGAGAGAGAGAGAGAGAGAGAGAGAGAGAGAGAGAGAGAGAGAGTTATTCTTATTCCAAATCCTACTATAAATTCGACCGCCAACTGCACATACCAATATCCATATCGATAATCAACACTTTAACAAACCATATACGAAAAATACTATAATGACATAAGCAAAGCAAAGAGATAAAACCGTAGCAACAAGCAAGTGCCGCCGATGTCACATGTCAGTTGTCCCGGCAGGCGCCTTCGTCCCTCGCGGCCCCGGGACTGACGGCTGGGAAGTAAACAAAGAGGAAGGGACCGCGGAGCCAAAGCAGTTGAAGCAAATACTAAATAGTCTGATTTGAAGGAGAGGCAATGTAGTTCAAGACAAGAATTGTTATAATTTTCCTTATTAATGATATTTTTATTCAATTCATCATTGTTAATAATACATATTATTCATATCATCATTGTTGATCATTATTAATGTTATTCATATCGACGTTTTCTTTGAATTCTCATTATCATTATCTGGTAGAAAGGCAACTATTAATCTAAATTATTGAAGTAAAATGATTTTGATACCAGGAAGTGTATTAACAATAATGGTGAAAATTACAGTAACTGATGGTAATAATAATGATAATAGTAATAACAATATTCTTATTCTTATTCTTACTCTTATTATTATCATTATCGTTATTATCATTATCATTATTATCACTACTATCATCATTACTATTATTATAGTAATAATGATAATGGTGATAGCCGTTGTTAGTGGGTTAATGATAGTAGATAAAAATAACGATGATAACAGTGATAGTGACAGTTATAGTTCTGATGATGATAATAATAATAATAATAATAATAATAATAATAATAATAATAATAATAATAATAATCAAATTAATGATAATAGTAATAATAATAAATAATAATGATAATAATAATGATAATATAACTACTAGTACTACTACTAATAATAATGATAATAATAATGATCAAATGATAGTAACAATAATTAAAAATTATAGCAATAACAAACAAAAATTATAATAATCATAATAACAATATAATAATCATAATATAATAAATAATAATAATAATAATAATAATAATAATAATAATAATAATAATAATAATCACAGTAGTAATAACAAGAAACCAAATGCATGCAATAAAGAAACCCGGCGGAGAAGTGACGCGTCACAAGAGTGAAATCGTCAAACAAGTGGAAGACTTTTTCAAGGATTTATACAACTCAAAGGAACGACCACGGACAGAAGTAAACGCGGTCACTAGAGATGTACTTAACATCACGACAGAAAAAAGGCGCTTAAAGGCGTGAAGAGAGAGAAACCACCAGTAGAAGACGGAATTAGTATAGACCAAACATGGATGCAGGAGAAATTGCGACATAGCCAATCTTTTCAACAAATGCCTCATTAACGGCAAACTCCGAAAGCCTGGAAAAATGCAACGATTATTTTGACACGCAAAAGGGGGCTAGAAGGGATCTAAAAAATAAAACTACCGACTTATAAGCCTCCCTTCAGTTTAGACCACAATAATTTTATTCCTTAGTTTACGGATTTTATTTCAGAAAGCCTCTGACAGGCGGTCGCAAAATAAAAAGTAAAAATAACTGGGGGGATTGAACTTTTTAGAACACTTTATTAATTTCTGGAAACGTGAGACAGGCGGTAAAAAATAAATGAAATACCGACGAAAAAATACGTCACGTCTGGAATCAGTACTGTTCATGTGATCACAGACAGGAAGGATATCTGGTGACACAATGTGAGACAAACGGCAAATACCATCGATTGTGAGGGTTTCTATAGGTGTAATTGACTAGAAGAATAGAACATCGGAATCAAATCGTATCGGATCAGGTGCGGCGGGAAGAAACGTCGATTTCTCAATTATTTTCATTTTCGAAAATCGGGGAAAAACAAGTGCGGCGGATCCGTAAACCAAGAAATAGAATAATTGTCGCCTTACAAACTGTGCGAAAAAGTCATCACAACTCGAATCTCTGACACTACAGTCTAACCAGTCGAGAGAACAGGCAGGCTTCCGCAGTGGATTACCAAAAACAGAACACATCCACAGTAACCCCAATAAGAGAGAAAATAAATGAATATAGGAAACCCTTGTGCATGGAATTTATCGTTTATATACGAAAAGACTTTTGATTCTACATATATATATATATATATATATATATATATATATATATATATATATATATATATATATATATATATATATATATATATATATAGCGCAAATCATACAAACACATCTAGTGGAGAGGAAATATAGCGACACAGCAGTCTAGGCTGGAGAGCTTTCGACAAACACACGTGCATACTAAGAGTCTTTTAAGTCTTTAACCAATGCGACCTCCCCGCCAAGACATGTGGATCAGAAACATGGACTAAGACCAAATTAATGGAGAGGAAACTAGTAAGTGCCCAGAGAGGAAAGGGAAGGTCGATGCTGGGAACTGGCCTAAGAGATCGGATGAGGGCGACGTGGATCAGGGAACAGAAGATATAATTGGCAGCATTAAAAAGAAGGAATTGCAATGGACAGGCCTTATGTGAAGGAGACAGGACGAGAGATGGACCAAAAAAGTAACAGATTGGGATATGGATGACATAGGGAGACCAAGTGCCAGACCAATGACAAGATGGCGTAACGAAAGAACGAAATTTGGAGGCCAAGAATAGCAACGAAAAACGCAAGACAGGAACAACTGGAAGAATTGGGAAAGGAATGGTACAGGCTGATGAAAATGATGATGAATAACAATTATAAAAAGAATGATCAATATTAATAATAATAATAATAATAATAACAATAATGGTAATAATAATAATAATAATAATAATAATAATAATAATAATAATAATAACAATAATAATAATAATAACAATAATGATAATAATGATAATGAAAATTATACTGTTGCTTCTACCACTACTAATAACAATATGGATAATGGTAATAACAGTGGTGATGATAATAGTGATGATATTATCAACAATAATAATGATAATTATTATTATTATTATTATTATTATTATTATTATTGATATCATATTAATATTATTATTATTATTATTATTATTATTATTATTATTATTGTTATGATACTAATAACATAATTATTATAAATAATAATAACAGTATTAATGACAATGAAAATGGTTATAATAATAATAATGATCATAAAAAACAATAACAACAGTAGTAGTAAATGATGACAATGATAACTATCACAGTGATGAAGGCAAAAACGTAGTAATGATAACGATATCATCATCAAAAACAACAATGCTGGTAATTATAAAAATATTGAAGATAATAATGATACTGATAATAATAATATTAGTACTAAGAAAAATGATAGAAATAGTAATTATGATAATAAAAACAACAACAATGATAATAATAATAATTATTATTATTATCATTATCATAATGATCATTATTGTAATCATCACCATCACCATGATGATAACTAATAATGATGGTGATAACGATTATGGTAACAAATAAGAGTAATAATAATAAGACATGATGATAAATGTTGGTGATTATGATTGGAGTTACTACCATCATTACTGCTGCAGATGAGAGGACGAGATTTTGTAACCGGCAACTAATATCAAGATCAGCAGAATAATACTAGATTTTATTATGCATTGTATAGTAGCACGAATAGCAATGGTTACTGCTGGCATCCCAGAGTTAACTACTCCTCTTTGTTCCAGAGTGTGGTCAGGCCAAATGAAATTGTAGTAGTGGTAAGGTTACTAAAATCGTCTCCAAGTGTCAGACACATCACAAAAAACTACTTTGTCTGAAAATTTTAATGAAAACCATTGTTGAAAAGCAGGTCTTATATATCAATGCCCTGACACTGTAATATTTCTTTTGTAATATAGACAAAGGCTATTTGTAATAAAAAGACAACTTTCCATTTTTGTTACTACACATAAAGAAAGAGATGGCCTATAATGTGAATATTATACTGTTGATGCTAAATTATATTGCATACAAAATAAGCTTGTTTTGTTTATCTATGATGCCAAAGCAGAACATTCAACAACTTTTAGTACCTCTTACAAAACACTGAGTACAGTTCATTGGCGTAGAAACACTGCTTCTCAAAACAATCCATAGTACTGTGATTTTTTTAATATAAAAGCTTTGAGGAAGAGGGAATCCAGAGTTGTGTTTGGGGACTTGTTGTGGCAAAACTCTTTCTTTGTTTTCTTGTTACAATGAACTTCTTGTTGATGGAACTTTAGATATCACTTGAGATACTTGAGTGCTACTGAGAAGGTAAAAGCAACATTTGTCTGCTACTTCACAATAACGCCAGTGCTATCTGTGGAGAAACTTACCTCTCAATTTTAAATTAAACATAAAGCAACATGTAGGTTTATAGGAATGACCCTTTCTATAAATCAAGCTTTGCCCAGGCCAATTCATAGAAGGTACTTTAATATGGGTACTGACACTTGAACAGCCTATCACAGTCCTTGACAATGATGTAATACATCAGTTTGAACAAATATTAACTGAAATGTGAATACTATCAAAATGGTTCACCGAGTATATTTTGTAATCATACTTTCCTGTTTTACAATTTTTTCATATGATTTTGCTGTGAATATTTCATTACCAGCCTTGCAATAGGAAATTTTACTGATATAACCTGTGAACTTGAGCATTACAATTCTAAAAAAATCTATAAAAAAATATTCATATTCATATGCTCTGGGTTTATACTTGGAAAAAATTATATTATCTGATTATATTTATGCTAAAAGTTCTTTCCTTCTCCAGGAATTCTTAGAAAAAGTCTAATATCTAATTATATTTTGATAAAAGTTCGTTCCTTTTCCAGGAGAAATGGAAATAAGAGACACAAAAACAAAAAATATCAAAATATTTATTTTACATAAAACTCCCTGCTTACAATCCATCAGCTAGAGATTATCTGAGACAAGATATCCAAGTTTCTCTCTCTTTCTTCTGAAAGATTTGATGGCAATGCCTGTTTCCTCCTTTTTTTCTTCTTTCCTGCATTCTCACTGCTAAAGGATTCTCCCCGTTTCTGGATAGCAGAATCAGCACATGATTTCTTATTGAACTCACAATAACAAAAAATATGCACCATATATCAAAAATTGTATACACACCTTAAATCAATATTTTGCATTATGGAAACCTTGCCAAATGTGAATAAAAATCTAGCATACCTTTTTCTTTGGACAATCTGTGCGCTTGTGGTCAGAACCTCCACAAATATGGCATATTGTCTTTGAAGAACCATTGACTCCGTGAGACTTGCACTTGTGGTCTTGAGGCTGACATCTAGAACACTCAGTGCAATGAAGCCATGATGGTTTTACACACTTCATGCACTGGTCGCAGTGTCGGTAGGTTCGACCATCCTAGAATAAAAATAGGTAAATAGATTTTTGCTATTGAAAATCTTTATTTAGTTTAGTAAATAACACATATTGGTATGTTGTCTCATTCAGTTACAAATTCAAATTCAAACAAAGTTACCTAAATAGATTTTGTTTTATGCACTCTTATAATCAATAATTAATAGTGAGTGAACTTACTTTTGACATACAACCTTTGCATTTCTTACAATGTTTATTGTTGTTAAACACCCATCGATTGCAAGGCTTACAGTAATGATATCCCTCACTCTCAGGAAAGGAAAATAGTGATGCAGGTTGATTTACATAGACTCTTACAGCAGAACCATTCTTCATACTCTTTGGACCTAAAACAAAATATGTGATGTAATTAGGGTTGAACTATTCACCAAAAGAATGCCAACTTCAGTGATTCTTTCCTGGCCAATATTTATCACTTCCTTACCTGATGAATATAGTGGATGATTATCATAATCTATTTGATAATCAAGCATCACAAAATCTGACAGATTATGCAGGACTTGTGGTTCCATAAAGTATGGAAAAATGAACAGCACTGAGAAAGAAAAAAATGAATTAACATGAGGATTACCAACAAACTGAAGCTAACATAATACTAGATAATTACAGATATCTTTAATGAAAAATATAATCAAAGATTAAAACTTTCATTTAAAAAATAAAGCCACACTGTAAAAATTATAATTAAAATACATTAGGTAGCTTTTTAATACCATAAATACGTTTTCTTAATTAAACAAAAAGATATTGTTATTTGGTACTGTTGTGAGTTTCATATAAAGTCTTTCAAGTTAAGAAATAATATCAAAGGTGTGTAGAAAATGTGCTTCACCCATATCTTTGGCAATGTCCTTGTGCCTAACACCAAACTGGTCCAGCTTAATGAAGAAGGTGAGTTACAGGTTCAGAATCAAATATAAACACAAGTGGTTCTTAAATTCTTATCTCACTCTGTATGCAATTGCTGGCTCTTGCATGAAATTTTTTTTTATTTATTTTTTAAAATTTTAATGTCTAAACTAATACCATTGCACAAGGGCATAGCATCCCAACCTGGTAACTGTTCTTGAGGATCGAGATGTCTCGCTGTTCTCCAATCTTGTTCAATCCTTTTCATGTTATGGGCTAGAAGTTCCATTCTCCCTCCAAATGGGGGATCAGACACCAGCACTAACTCTGATGGTGAAAGAAATACAAATTGATTATACAGTTTGAATCTGAGTATATAATAACAAAGTGTGTGTTAATATAGTTGTATCTTAATACAATTCTTACTGTATTCCATTAAGTCTATGTATTCTATTAAGTCTAAGAATGACATGGTTATTCAATACTTACTCTCTTTTTCAGCAATAAAGTTTTGATATGTTTCTTTGGCCTTCTTCCCATCAAAGAAGTAATGGTTGAACATGTTGTATCGCAGGAAGGATTGGGGCTTGAAAAAACTTTGCTGACATTTGAGCATGCCAAAAGAGAAAATTATTATAAAATAAAGTATTCATTTTGTGTGTATTTTCATCACTATTACTATAATTATTATCCTATAATCCATGCTTAGGCTAAAAGAAGTGTTGTATTTTTAACTTTGAGATGCAAATCCTATAGGTACTGAGTATTTATAGCTGATCTTGGAAAAAAAATCCCAAATCTATGGCATCTATTTTAGCATGAAACATATCTTCTGGGGTATCAGATACTACCTGAAAGAAAAAGAGTTATCACAGCATTCTACTTCATATGTTGTGGATAAAAATACCATATACTTACAAATCGTTCATCAATGTCAAGCATCAGAGCTGACATCTCCAACTTTTCTGACATTGCTATTGCTTCGTATATTCGAGGAGCCCCAACACACAAAACTCTTTTGGCTTGTAACTTTACTAGCATGTTGATGATAACATCCACACTACTAGAAGCAAAGAGGTATTGTGCCTCTTTCTTTGCACTTTCTCTTGGTGGAAGAAACTGAGAAAAATATGCTAAATTACTCAGTCTTATAAATATTAACCATCTATCAATGCTACTTTCTATGTTCAAATACATATATTCAACATGGGCTTTTGGATCCAAAATCATAAAAAGAACTTTGACTGTTTTGTGAAACATACTTTACACTAAGATATCTGTGGAATATCCATCATTCCTAACTTCTTATGTACTGCATTTAACATGCATACTTACTGATGATGGCTGTGTAAGTTGTATGTCAGTGAGAGGTGTGATAAGGGTGCAGGCCTTATGTTTGCTTCGTCTTGCAGTTGTAAGCAGAGTAGAGCAATTGGCACAGTATATTCGCTCGCTTGGCAATACTGAGAGCACCTCATTTAAACTGAAATCAGTTTTACAAATGTTTTGTATTACCTATTCAAACACATTTTAGAAAATGATACATAAGTCTATTAGCCAGTATTTTGTACAGTTGTCCATCTCTGTTTTACCGCATAATCTAGAATAGATACTCTCAAACTAAAAGCATAACACAAGTAAGTCTGGCAAAAATTAACACAACTTGAGCAAGATGTTAAAACTTACCTACTTCAGATTGAAATTACTAACTCAATTATTTGATAAAATCCAGTATTGTGCAAATCTGTACTAAATTAGGACTAATATATAATCATCTCGCTTTCCATGTCTTATTAATGGGGATACAGGTCAATAGCACAATAATTCACAGATGCTTTATACGAAAAAGTTTGAAAACTCCTGTTCTAGAATGTTAATAGTGTATAAAGGTCTTAGAAACTGCTGTATATTCTCTCGTATTATTCACTCTTCAACATATTGGTACTTGGCATGCCCTTATGCTATATTCCTCTTTTCTATTTTCTATTTTGAATTTCTACCACAATATTCCAACACAGAGAACAGATGGACACCACACCATTAAAAAAGAAGAAAAAAATATACTGTTTATGAATGCACAGATGTTATATTGTCTTAAACTTCCTAAAACATTAGTAGCCACTAAATTGATACCCATAATAGATAAAGTTTAATTTTATCCTACATGTTATATCTAAATTGACTTTTCTAAGTACAGTTTACAGATAAATGAAAAAACCATAATTAAAATTTTACTTATAAATTAAGTTCTCATGAATAAATTGTTTCTACTCACTCCCATGACATTATTCCATATAACATTCATTTGTTTATCTGATGCTTTCAGATTTTGACATGCAAAAACACCCTAATGCCCCAATCTATAAACTTAAAATGTATAATTAATGCAAATAGCAAAAGACTAACTCACTTGGATATTTTCAAAAGTATATATATTGAAAAATGGGAAATAAAATTAATCACCTTCTGCTTAATTCCTCTTCAGTGTCTTTAGGCTCAGAATCTTTGATGAATTTGTCCCACAGGTCTCTCTTTGTCTTTGAAAACTTCTCATCTGCCCAGTGGAAGAAGGAGCAATCTTTCCTGTCCCGACAAGCAGAACAGGCATAATACTGCCGACTGCGACCATTGCTCTGGAATCTCTCAAATAACACTGTAGGGCCTGAAAGAAAAATTCAAAATTTTATCTCTCTTTTTTTCAAGACAAATATGATAACTGCAAAGTCAAGAATACATATAAAAATGAGCTTCTTAATGAAAAATCTGGTTCCTTTTCTATCAGGCACTAATATCAAATATTTATCTGTTTTGAAAACATTGATCAAGAATGAGGACTTTAAAAAAGTAGAATTCTTACTAAATCGCAGATTTTTTTGTGTCCATATCAACAAGTATCTATAATACAAAAAATGGGCTAGAAAGTATAGAAACAACTCTAATTTGATTAAACTATGTTACTGAATTAGGAAATCTCTTAAAATATCTGCACAAGTCTAATATTACATGAAAGTTACCATACACTTCTTACCTTCACCAATTTTGTCCAAGAAATAAATATGTAGTTATGCTTACATATTCACTTTCATTATGATTATTAGTTTCTGAAATAACAATTTAAGCCTATGGAGCCTATGTGACATTACTCATTGCTGGGAACACACAAGTCAACCTCTCTAAATGGCTAATAGTATGAGGAACAACAATATTTGAGTAGCTTTAGGGTCAAACATAATTTAATCTATATTTTCCAAAATTTACAAGAAATTTATACCTTCATCATGTTGAAAAACAAAGCCTGTATTACAACATTATGTAGAACTGCCATTTACTTGTTCTCAAAGAAATTATTACTATTATTATTATTATTATTAATATTATTATTTTACTTAAATATGCAGTGCAAACAATGTTACATGTACTATGAATCATATTAAATACAGTTTATTAAAATTATCCATAACTCTTTGAATGTATGCCAATGTTTATGGCAATATAATAAACATTACCTGAGCCATAATTTTCTTGCTGCTGAATCATCATTTTCTTGTTTACTTTTTGTTTCTCAACAAAGAAAAAAAATGATTAACTTTATAAACATACTCAATGGTCAAGCATCTACCAATGTGAAAAAAGGTAAAAATAAATAAGTGAATTAATAATTTTGTTAATGTTTTGTTAACACCAGGGTTGGTACAGTTTTAGCACATGACAATGTGACTTTCATGATTGACATTATATAGAACTGATAAACTGCTGAAATAAACTAAACTTTTCATCTATGACATATCCTGTGCAAATTGGGGGAAAAATGATAGGGGAATATGATACCTTGCACTTAACTCAACTAGCCATTCATTAGCAATGACTCTTTCATGTACATACTATTAGAGTTACTATGCACTTCAACTATTTGAGGCAATTCTGGGCTGGTTCTTGCATAATAAGGATGTGCATGATTGCTGTATTGGCTTTGGTACAAAGTGGGATATACATTGATGATACACCCAGGGAATCTGTCATCAAATAGGGAACTAGTCCAAGCTCTATCTTCCCAAATTCATACATGGAGGATGATTGTTGGCATTAACTCACTGCCACAAGAAACATGTAAAGTCTACTGTAATTTCTATGTAATATGTTTACATACAGATGACTCAACTAGCTCTCATGCTGTGTTTGGAAACCCTTGTCCTGCTCATCCAGACAAGTTAGACAAGATGTTTTAACCGTTCAGAACCTCTACTTTCTCGTCCTGGACAAGTTGTCCTTCTTGTCCATCTCGCCCTCTTTCAAAGCTGGGTGAGCAGGACAAGATGATGTCACAAGAGTATTTGTATGTAAACAATGACAGTTGTAGGCAACCACAAAATATTGATGGGTAATTTTATGGCCCCTTATTAATGTTATCAAAGGATATTTTTAAGTTTGTCAGTTGCATGTAAGTTAAATATCCATCAAGGGAGTTACAAAACCTATGCAGCGTATAAAATAAAGATACCTGTATGATAAAAGAGTGAATGTTTACTGTCGAGCTGGTTGCAATGAGGGTCTTGGAGGTTCTGAAAGCAGCCTCATTGTCCTACTGGTTCTAACAAGTTGTCTGGACAAGCAAGACAAGGAGTTCTGAATGCAGCATTAGTTACCAAGGAATCATTTCAGGCTCTGAGACACTTGCATGTCCAAAAACTTTGTTATTTTTGAGTTGTAGTGGAAGTACATAGAAAATAAGTTTCTTAGAATCCAGATTAGAAACTCTGCAAAGTGCACAGCAGAGTTGTTGTTTAGAAGCAGAAACTGCGTATCATTGTTGTTATTTAGAAGGAGAAACTGTGCATCAGAGTTGTTGTTTAGAAGCAGAAACTGCCCATCAGAGATGTTGTTTAGAAGCAGAAACTGCGTATAAGAGTTGTTGTTTAGAAGCAGAAACTGTGCGTCAGAGTTATTGTTTAAAAGCAGAAGCTGCGCGTCAGAGTTGTTGTTTAGAAGCAGAAACTGCGCTGCTACACACAGATGGTTACAAAAATACACGGCTGAGTAAGAGTTGCTTGTTTCGTTGGTCCAATCAGCCAGTCATTGGCTTCAACTCAAGAAACTCCCAGGTTACGGTTGCGTGTTTCAGCCTCCAATTACTAAATGGCGCAGCTGAGAGAAAAGAATTTGTCCAAGTGGCGCAGCCAGAACTGCGGCTGAGAAACCAAGTGCGTAGTAGATTTATCTGCTGCACACAACAAACTTTCAAATCTGACTTAGAATCACTTGCTCTATTGTTTCCATATCATTTTACGTTTAAAAGGTGGCTGGTTGGAAATTTACTTGTATCCTAAGATCTACCACACATTACTTTCAAATTTCCAATTGTCTGTTTCCTATAATCATTTTACACCAGTATGCACGAATCATTTTTAATACATGAAGATGTACTTTAACCCCAATTATATCTCACCATGAGAGCAGGCTGGATTATTATCAATGTTGTTGATAATAACATCAACCCCCAGCCTCTCAGAGGTGGCCATGCTGCGAAATGTAAACAAATAATCAGTTCGTTCTTGTAACCGGATTCAGAGAATCCGCATGTCCACAGAGACGCACTCAAGGTATGAACGGCTGACACGTCGTATAAAGACGATTACCTTTTTTATGAAAAGTATATTGGTGTTATTATTGATCCATTTTTATGCATAGATACATGCCTGATTATAATGAAACCCAATTAAGTGACGAAGAAATTTGTAGTAAATTCAGCCATTCAGCATACTTTCATGTTTTGCAATTATTTGCGAATCAGGCAAAAGTCAGCTTAAAACTTTGTGAAACCTATGGACAGGAAGTGTGTGAAGAGAAGGGGTCAGTTTAGGCCAGAAACAGAAGTTTTGGGATAATCAACTAAAGATGTAATGAACAAATTCAGTTTACTTTCCCAAAAAATGTTTCGGACATCGTTGCACTCGGGTGAGGATATAAGTGTTTTATTTCATTTATTTATTGCATTAATAAGTAAGTGCACAGTTTTGAGTACTCACACTTCTTCAAAATACCAGAGTTTTGTATGTGTAGCCCATAGACCCATCTGTGGTCCAATTTCGCCATGGTTACCTAAACAAATTGAACTTAGACCCATGGCACGTGAGTCATCCCCACGTGGCACATTGTCAGAATAACCAAATAACAGTATATCTATTTATATACACAAAAAATACGGGGACTGGGGACGTAGGGATTTCCTAGAGAGTTAGCATGCCCCACACTCATCACACTCCAGTTGGCAACATGTACGAGCTGCTGGGAGGGAACACGAGCAAGAAGGTAGCCTGCCTCTAGTACTCTTGCTCTCGAGGCAGATACTCCGAGGAAAGTACAAGAAAACGATCTTCGCTAGAAGATTAGCACCAAAAATGCTACTTTTTCCACGACGCCTCATGACATGAATGCCTTTTCATCCTCTAAAGACCTTTTTACATGTCTAAAAAACTTCGGAATTTTCGGATTCGGTAACGCCATATAGTGAGTAAAAATAGAGAAAGAAAAAGAAAATGTATGCCAAACTTACGAAAAATTATTATGAAAAAAAGCTAAACCTTTGTTTGCACCTTTTCAGTTTTTTTCAAATACCAAGAATTGTGTAGAGGTCAGTGAACTATCATGATCGCCAAATTTAGACATGCATTGTGTGTGTGTGTATATTTACAAATAAATATACATTCACACACACATGTGTATATATATAATATATATATATATATATATATATATATATGTATATATATATATGTATATATATATATATATATATATATATATATATATATATATATATATACAGATACACACACACACACACACACACACACACACACACACACACACACACACACACACACACACATATATATATATATATATATATATATATATATACAGATATATATATATATATATATATACACACAGATATATATATATATATACATATATGTATATATATATATATATATATATATATATATATATATATATATATATATGCATATATATAACTGAGGTTAGGAAGGCGATCTCTAAGCTGAAGGGAGGGAAAGCTGCAGGCATATGCGTATCGCTGCTGAACTGCTAAAGGCTGGGGTGAGCCTATGGCACGGGGCTTGCATGCTGTCCTGGCAGACCGGTTCCATTCCCCCGGCCTGCAGCCTACATCGACGTCAAGAAGGCGTGTGATTCGGTGCGCCGCAATCGTTGTGGGAGATCCTGACACTTAGGCCCGTACTTCTAAAACCTTTCGCCCATGCTGGCGATCGCCTGGCGATGCTGCGGCAGGCGATCATCTGAGTGAGGGAGGCACTCCTTTAAAACCCAACATTCGCCAAGGCGGTCGGGCGATCGCCAGGCCTGGCGAACGAAAGGGATCGCCAGGCGCTAACATCTTGAATTCCTGCTCAATCTAGCGCTTCGGCGACTGAAAAACGCGGTAAACGCAAATTTGCTTATATCTGCAGTGCACAGCGTCACCATGGCAACCAGCACCGAAGTTTGTCGGTCTTCTCCCATACCCATTTGGACAAAAAAGTCCTTCGGAACCTCCTCATAAAGGACTATATAGAAGCCGTGTTGATTCCTAACCTAACCCTACCTAACTTTACCGAACATAACCTAAATTTGATTATTAACCTCGGGAGAAGACGAAAATGTTATCCCCGTAATGGTCTCACTTTATATTATAACAGAGGAGTTCTCTATGTAATAGATCTTAATGATAAGAAGATGGAGAAAGATTATGAAATGTTATCAATGATAGAAACGGTGATGAAGAATGCAAGTGAAGTGATATGGATAACTTTTAATGATATTCCATAAAGAAAAAAGATAAGTGATGATAACTTTTATAAATAACTTTATACTATAACAAAGTTAACTTTATACTTTATACTATAACAAAGTTAACTTTATACTATACTATATCAGCTCTATACTTTTATACAAAAATTAACTTTATACTTTAACAAAGGAGTTTACTTTACCTAACTAATATAACAAATTGAACTGTAGGCCTACAAGGATATCATTAGAGACGCCTCGTTGCACAGACAGCATGGCAGCTATGTTTCTATAGCCCGTAGTAAACATGCCATCATCAAAACACTTATGGTAACCTTTGTGAAAAGAAAATTATCCCTACAACCAAAATAACAACTTAAATCAAAATAACTCATCTCGGGGGGGGGGGGATACAGCTGATGTCTTGAGCTCTTGGCTGGAAATTTGATGGTCTTGAAAAAACTACCTTTATACATTTCATAATAAATTGTGATTTTCACAGATTTTAAAATTACAATGTGATTCCTGTATCATATAATGCACAAATATGTTACTGATTTGTAATTTGAAAGCAAGAAAATGCTATTCAATCACGGGACAGGGAGGGCTCTCGCGACGTTGTTTCGCCAGGCTGTTCCAATACGACCGAACGCCAACCCTGGCGTAAGATCGCCTGGCGAACATTTGCCATGCTTTTAATGGTGCGAAATTCCCGATCGGCCGGCGAAATCGAATGCCACCCCTGGCGAAAGGTTTTAAAAGATAAGGCCCATGTATATATATATATATATATATA